AGGAAAAAAGTTTTTTTGTTGTTGACTCCAACTGCTAAATTAATGAGCCTAATTAATCGGTCAAGTAATAACAGTCACTGATCCATGCACAATTTATCAATAATATTTTGCAATATATTAAATCGACGCATACAGAAGTAATCAATACCAATCAGTCGAGTATTGACGATAAGGGCATCGTATCTGAACTTAAACGGTGAAAAATTTAAAGTGTGACCAATCGTTCCGCACTCTTTTTTAATTATTTACCTAATAGATATACGAAAATTTCCAAAAAAATGTAGCCAATTGTGGCAAAAATAAAACTAAATGATTGTTTAATTGCAGTAATCCATTGTCGTTACACATTAATATTTATTTATAAATACGATACCGTGTATGTATGCAGAGGGACAATGTTTAAAAAAATAATTGGTTCTTGCGAAATGTTTTCTAAACTGTCTTGTTAAACAAATTATATCGGAAGTTCATTCACGTATATCACTAGGTTAAATAAAACAAAAAGAAGATTAAAACAATATTTGTAATAATTAATTAAATTGTCATCTTTTTTTCCAAGTTAATTAGGTGCTAAAATTAACGTAAATTCTTCTTCGCTTAACATGTCAAAAAGTTATTTAAACATAATAAAAATAATTGGTTTATTACAAGTATAATTATCTACTTATCATTGTTTCTGAATTTTTAAAATTTTATCTTTTATCGAACAAAAATTGTAAACCAAAATTTTACGAAGTCGTGGTGTGTCTTAATAATTTATTAATTTATTTGCTTCGNCCACCAAATTTGTTTAGATTTGGTTGTCTATTATTATTTTTGATTATATTATTTATTAAATAATTCTTAATCATTCTGGCGCCGTCGAAGGTTTAGGTACCAAAATTAAAATATCATTTTGCCAAGTGCATTTTTCTGCTATCGGCACAATTAACGTTTTTTTGAGACCTCATTAGACGAAAATGAAGACCCCAACGGCTTTTGATAAGATATATTTATTTTTTTATTGCTAATTATGCGTTGATAAGGGGCTAATTACAGTAATTAATGGTTATTTCTTTTATAAATGTTTATTATTGTAATTCTGGTAACTGTGATACTTTTGAAGTTGAACTGTCATCTGTAAGTTTGTAGATAATGGATTCATTATCGTAATCCCCAAATTTGTGCAAGAACAGAAAATAAAACTTCATTTTCATTTTATGCCCACGTAGATATGTATCAATTTCGTTTTACGTAAACAAAAAAATAATAAAACGATTGAATAACGTTACTACATGCATCAGTTGTTCTTTTATATCTCTATTTATAGGCAATCGTGGGTGTTATCATCTTAGGATCCTGCGTAACTAAAGTTTTTTTCGTTGAATGGTATTGGTCTAAAAAATACGGCCTTGAGGGTTCTCAATAAAATAAGGACGTAAGGAACCCTAATTATAATGGATTGTTAATTATTTTGACTTCCAACATTATCGATTTAAAATTTTTGAAAATTCTTGGTGCATCAACTCCAAATATGATCTTTTAAAAGATAATTTTGTTTTTGTTATCAAATGTGCTCACAATAGAAGTCGAAATGTAATGGTGGCATACTAGGGTGTATTAGGAGGTGATATTTTTTTTGCTTACCGACTGTTTTTGGCTTCTTAATACCATTACAGTTTATGTCTCTCTTCGTTCGTTTGATTTCGCTCGTAAATTTTTCCAGCATGGTCTTCTTGTAGCACAAACTCTATGAAAATGTGCTTTTCAAAAGTAAGTACATATGGATAGTAAGTACTATACATAAATGTAATAATACATGCTTGGAGTACTCACTGGGATTTTTGTAGGAAATCTATTTCTAATAGCCATAACTTCTTCTTTTCTTATTTCTGAAACAAAATAAAAACGAATATTATTAGTACATTCACTTGTTTTGCATAAATGCAACACTGTGCACCTACATGGGTGTTGTCAATTGTTTAAATAATTTTTAAAAAACAATATTTTATTGAGGCTGTATTTCATCTATTTATTGTAGCAGATTGTTATTTTTTTTTAATGATATTCTATATCGAAAAAGTTATTTCTCCTTGACGAATACCAATTAAATAATAATAACAGTAAGACCCGTAGATTATCTGGGGTTAAATACAGACGTATCTTTACTATATTGGCGACATCGATATTTTTATTGTTTTCAACAATTTTTTCAATCGGCTTAGTCCCATTTTATATTATGACAACAGCGTGTTTATTTGCAGCATATATTTAAAAAAAAAAAAGTAGATTAGCTATTATTATGACTATTATATTATGATTGTGCGGTTGCAGTTATGTGGGACAAACCCCAACCTTGGCCAAAATATAACTGATATAACGCATTTTACGATTAGGTTTGAAAAATTGTTGCCATCTGTATTAGTTAATTGATATCACATAATATGTTAAGGTTAATTAATATCTAAATAACACTATTTTCTTAATCTTCCCTAATTTTGTTTTATTATACCNTTTAATTTTATCATCCGAATCGTTAAGAAGTAGATAACAATAACAAATTATTTCATTTTGACATCGTCTATATAAACATAGTAATAATTTCATGCGGTTAACTAATTCGCAATTCCAGCAAATATAGTCTGTCCTATTACTAAAAGTTTTTCATTAAGCCAGATCCATTCGACGAGTTGTTTTGATATAACTTTTTTTAATCAGAACGTAGATACTTAAAACTTTTATTTCCAGCATAGTGATGCATACTTTTATCGAAGTCACGATGAATTAAAGTATCATGCCATTTACGATGTCTAAATAATTTTTTTCCTCGTAAGCATTATACTGACTTGATTCAGGTTTTTTTCGATAAAATTAACTCTGTTATTCATATGCTTTGTCGTTTATAAAAAAAGTTGTTTTGATAATGCAAAAAGGCGAATTTTCAATTTTCCATGAATTATCGGAGATACTGGAATGTGGTCCGTATTTGTAATCAATTTGTCATTATAAGAGCCTGCATAAAGGTATCAGTTTCGCACTGAGAACTCTATTGAGGTGCCATTTTCATTTGTTCAGCATTCTCCAAGGATGATGATGAATGATTGTCAGTAGTTTCATTATCGTTATCGTCGGAATCTTCTTCTTGTACCATACTAATTTCGTTTTCCTTGCATCCTGATATTCAGCTGAGATGGTACCGTTGTTTAATAAATAATCGAAATCAGATGTGTTTTGTTTTAGTTCTGGTTTACTTAAATTTTCTGTTAATAATGAAAGTATTTCTGCTAGTTTCTCTCAAAGTTTCGTAATAGGTTGAAAAAGTCGTTCCAACTGAGACTTCGTTGACTCTTAACGTTTCGTATTCTTTTAACTGTATTTCCAGTTGGAATTGTCTTTAACCAGTTTCTCGTTCATAACATCTTACGTTATACTTAAAACATAAACAATGAAGATATTTGAATAGCTTTTCGGACTGAGGATGGTGTGTCCATCTAGTTCTGACCATCTTCAAGATCATTCATCTTCTTCATGGGCGTTTAATGCTGCCATCAATCAATAATTAAGTAAACGTAATTTAACATATTATACAGATATACACACGATAATTTTATTGTGATGATAATATTGTTAAGTTATTATTTCCATAGGAAGGATATTATTTGTAAGAAATATTTAAACTAAACATGAGTGAATTTATTTGATTAATTGACAAAACAAATTATTTATTTATATAGATACACACACTGTGATCTATAATATCATTAAAAATAATAAATGCAATTAGCGTGACGTGCGTATTTGACGGAATGATTTGAATCCAACAAGTATAATTGACAATTTTAAATTTATCCACCAAAAGCCAAGTAAGCCATATGAATTTCGAGACACATGTTTCCTTGTTGTTATGTACAACGATAATGCACGGCCGTAGCTAGGAGGGGAGCATTGTGGAGCAATGCCCTACCTTAAAAATACCAAAAATATATATGAACTTTTTGTATATATGGTGATTATAGGATGTAGCACTGCACTGTGCGAATGTACGTTTTCAACTTTGACTGCAATCAGTAGGCCTCAAAGGCTGTCAATGGGTCACGAGAGAATGGATGGTTTTGTTGTATCCCGCGACTATGTCGCGTTCTTAAATTGGGCTGTACACGCTCACTTCCAAGCAAATAAACCAGTACACACTTTTTGAGAACAATTTTATTCCTTATTACTTACACTTAATTTACACTTAACACTTAACATAAAATAAATGTTTGCTATTTACTCGTATATAGTGTTAATTGTATTTATTGCTGCATTTATATTTTGTTATTAAATTAGTTAATATTATTTTTGTTTGTTTTTTTTAAATTTCCAATTAAAACAAAAAAAATTAAAATTTGGTGTAATTTTGAAATGCGCGCCTTAAGTTACGCTTCATAGTTTTATGTATTGATGGCAGTGAAATTCGAAGTTTTCTTTGTCAGTACCATTTATATATATATCCCAAGTATCGTCTACCAATGTGGGGTAAACTTAGATGTCACTGGTATCGTCAAAATCTCGCGAGTTTTACATCTATTTCCTAGTCTAGGATTATGATCAATTTTTTACTTTTGCTCTACCTGTAACCAATGCTGCCCTACCTCAAATTAGACTTTAGCTACAGCCCTGCGATAATGCATATCTGTGATAATTACGTATACAGATTTCAACATTTCAATTTTATTCCTTATCGCATCCCATTTGTTCACAAATTATGTAATTACTATCGTTTTCTGTCTCTATGTATTAATATATATATAGCTTTTGATAACGTTCAGTTGTTTTTCTTGTCACTTATCGTAGATAGTGGCTTGTGGCTGTTGACATGGTAATAAATAGCCTTTATGGCCTTTTAATGTGTTGTTGGTCAACGGAGAGCCAATACAGGGACGTATTCGTATTTTTTTTTACTATCATCAAACTTTGCGTTTATATGAAGTTAGGAAATTACTTATTTTGAANATGTACATTATTTATTTTAGAATGTAACTAATGATAATGGCGAATAAATAAAAACAAAGCTACCAAGAAATAAAAAGAGAAAGAAATCAAATGAAATAACAAGACGATGATATTCACCCTGTTCTATATGTACGCAACCGCGCTGCAATGGTGGAAGTTGGGGGTTTTGAAAAACAAACTAAGTGGTACCCTTAATAGTCACAACGCACTGCTGGTTTGTAATAATTCGAATTTTTTGGACAGAAAGAGGAGAAGGTGTCTTGAGAATCTTTTGGTTCAAAAAGGCGACAGGTTAGCCTGTACCATCGTACCAAAGGTAATAAATTTTCATAAAAGCATCATCACGCTTTCACCCCCCCCCTTCCATTTTTCGTTGGTACAGTAACAACCACTACTTCATCTAACATATTTGGTTCGAATTATTATATGTATATAACGAGTCAATTTTCCTGATCAACCCCCTGGCATTTCCCTTTTCTTGCATCATTATAAAGTAAAATTCTGTACTATTCTTCTTGAATTTTTAGCAAGTCTTAGACCTAGCCCAATGGGCAGCTATTCCAAAAGATAACAAATATTTCCCGATCTTTATGAAAATCAATAAGTTTTTCTCGAAATCTCCCAAAATGTACGTGTTGGTTCAAACGAACTTGGACAGTTACACTCCACATCAAAGCGCAACTGTAGAGGTGAGATATGAGGGTAGTATTCAATAGTTTCACCGTAATGACATTTTTCTCTTATTTACCCGTAATAAAGCACCTTATGTATACATAGAGGGTGTAAAAGAGATAAGTGTTGAGCTATGAAGGGAGTTCAGCAAAAAATTTTTTAAGAAAATCACATTAATTTACAATTCGAAGCCGGTCCTGTGCGTGAATTGGTAACATAGGTGTCTACCGAATAGCGTAGTGCGATAAAAACCCAGCAGCCATTGTCGAACGTCTAAGATAAACATAAACATAAATGTACGAACGCAAAAGAAAGAAAATTTAATGCAGCGTAGCGTGGCGTATTTCTTTACCAGGGTCGGAATTGAATTTATTTGTATCTTTAACTACGTTTTTCTCGAAAACGGTGGAAC